TAAGTAATACTATTTAAATTTGTATAAATTAAAGAGAATATGGATTTGTAATTATTTGTTTTGTGTAAAATTAATAAAGATTTAAAAGAAAATTTTTAAATAGAATTATTAATTGAGTAAACCACTAATTTTAGAGATTCTAAAACGTGTTTGGGGCTGGGTTTGGGTAAAAAAAAAGAAAAAAAAAACAAAAAGAAAAAAAAAAAGGTATAGAAAAGAGAGTTTGGAGTAATTTGACTATAAAACGATCAGTTTTTGGTCATTTGTGATGAAATTTAGTTTTTTTAGCAGAATTTGAGTAAACTTAAATTTTAGCTATTTAACAAAAGATTATTTAGTTTAGTTAAAAAAAACTTGTTTAAAGCTATAAAACTTGGTAACTATATATAAATTGAGATGTGGAACAATGAAATTTAATAAAAAAATTTTATTAAAAAGAGCAGTTTTGAGAAAACTTAAATTTTGTTTTAGCAAAATTTTGGTACAAGTAATTGTCAGAAAGAGTTAGTAAATCAGGTTCTAGTATATATATTATATATAATAATACACAAATATAGATTAATCTCAGAATTCAGTAATTAGATTTTTGTAATTTTAAGCTTATTAGAATCCTCTTTCTGAAAGGATCATTTTGGTAATTAAATCATCTGGATTGGTCTAGTAAATCAAAAGTTATTGATTATTAAACTTTTTTAATAAATTAATAAAAAAAATTTTAAATTTTGGCCAGAATTTAATAATTTTAGCTAAAATTACATCTAATACTTTAGCTAATCTGCTCACCTATCTGGCTTTACTTTAATAATAATTAAAAAATTTCAAACTTCTCTTATAGCTTTTAATTATCTATATTTAAAATATTATTTAATGTTCTTTATCTCTATATATTCTTTACAAAAAATATCATTTATTTTTTAACTTCTGCTACCACTTTAACAACTTATTTTTCTTCAAAGCCTCTTTTAACTCTGCTTAATTGCTTTTTATAGCATCTTTAACTTTTAGTAAACTTTAAATTTTACAAACCCAAATATTTTATTTTCATAACCAAATTAAAGACTTAATAATTTACAAATTTACTCTTTTACATTTAAACCACCTTGTTCTTTATACTTTCTGGTCTAGTTTTATCTAATATTATTAATATACTATATAAATATACCAGGTTTAAGTCTAAATCCTAATAAACAAAATCCTAACAAGTTATAATTTTGACAAAAAAAATCTTGACAAATAAAATTCTAACAAATCTTGACAATTAATAAAGTATTTATTTAAGTAATCTTACTATATAATTATCTAAACTCTAACTCTAACCTGAGTGCATATCTTAACTTTAATTTATGCACTTATCTAATCCTATTCTATTTTAAATAAACTTAATAATTTTTAGTTGTCAAGATTTGTACTATTAGGATTTTTTTGTTTAGATTATAACCTGTCAAGATTTTGTTTGTTAAGATTTTAACTAGCATCTAATATATCTTCTTTAACAAACTGTCTATTCTTTTACTATTTGATTTTTACTTCATTTAAACTAACAAATCTATACAAATATTGAAATTCTTAATATATTTCAAGATAACAATTTAACTTTATTTTAAATATTAATAGCATTGCTTCTAATCTCTGTCTTTATCTAATCCAAATATAATTTTTTTTTTTGAAATTTTTATTATTATTTTTTTTTTAAAAGAGGTCTTTTATCTATTCCTTTATTTCAAAATATATAATTTGGGTACAACTAGTACTAATTTATACATTTAACAAAAAGAAGTAGAAGTTAAAGCTAGGATTTATCCTCAACCTATTCTTAGCTAGAATATTTAAAAAATCTCTAGATATGTAATTTAAAAAGGAAAATATTAAATTGTGATAAATAAAATCATTAAACCATAAATGAAATTTTTTATCTATTAAACAAAGAGAGTATTATTTTCTAGAGATATAATTATAACCAATGGGTTTGGAGTATTTTGTTGTATCCATATTTGGGTTGGTTTCTAAATTTCTTTATGTATATTCTTAATGATTATATAATAAATTTGTGGGACTAGAGTGGTGCTTTGAGAAAGTGATTCTAGTTTTTGTAATATTTTTGAATTGATGAAGCTGAGTGGGATATATTTGTAGATATGAGTTGTTATAAACTCCTGAATAAATTTTTTAAGTGATAATATATTCAAGCCTCACAACTAATTATATAAATACTTCTTAAAATTTCAGATCTTACTCATAACAACATATAGATTCTATATTGTACAAACTTCTTATATTAGAAAAAAGCCTACTAGATTCTTACTCACTTTATATTTAATATTCTACTTTATCTCTCTTTACCTTAAAATTATAGAAAAAACAAAACTATATCTACTATCAGCTACCTTTGTGGCTTTGTTAACCACTTACATTCTAAATCTAATATTTGTTCTCTCCTAGAACAGGCTTCTTTAAAAATAAATATTTAGTTTACTATGTAAATTAAATATAGCACATCACATCTATTAACCATATTCTATTTATTCAAATTTAGATAAGTCTTGACCACTCTAGTAGATTTAGATTACAAATAATTTTGTCTGAGCTTTTATTCTTACATATAATTTATATTTATTTGTTAATATACAAATTAAGTTTTTATATAGCATTATGTAATTACTTATATGAATTATTAAATAAAGATATGAGTGAGACCTCATCTTAATACCAAAAAAAAATAAATAAATAAATAAAAATTTATAAAAAAGACTAACTAGTTAACTAATAAATCTTGTTAAAGATATATATTATTTATATATGTATAGTAAAATATATAATTATATCAAAATCATATAAACAGGTTTTAATATTAAGGATGTTTATAAATTTGTATAATATAAACCTGTAATTCCCTAAATGCATATACTTTTTAAATACATGTTTATATTTGAACCCAAAGCATACATTTAGAGAGGTCTAATTATTTATTATTTATTATATAATTAAAATAAAAATTTTATTATATATTTTTAACTTTAATTACTATTTTATTTTTAGTAAATTTTTAAGATTTTTAATTTCTAAATTTAGATTAAACTAGATAATATATAAGTTAATACAACAATATTTATTAAGTTTAAATTAATTTAACTATAATATATTTAAATTTTTTTAAAAAAATTAAAAAATTTGATAATTAAAAATTGAGTTAATAAATTTGTAACTGCGGTTACTGTAACCGCATCCAATAAAGCCAATTAAATTTTAAGATCAGGTGTAATGTGAAATCAAAACAAAATCTATTTTTTAAAAAAAAATCATGAATAACTCAAAAATTTGATTATGAAACCATCTTTTACGTTCTAACAAAAAAAATTCCTTGCTAAATTTTGATATAAACTATATCTTGCTTCAACTATAATATCACCCTAACTCTAACCTTTAACTGCAAGAGCTTATTTATAAAAAAATATTGTTTTGATATTCACGTTACACCTGATCTTAGTTACGGTTACAAAAATTTATTGTAACCTACGGTTACAAATTGATTAATCCTATTAATCCTATTTTTTAAAAATTAATTTAAAGATGATTTATCAGTTACTTTAAAATTATTTTTTATTTATTTTAATTAAATAAACGGCGTCATCTATTTTGTGTAACAGTGGGTACTTTCCAAAAAACTTAGACTAAAATATCTCGACAACAACTAAATGGAATTCAATGAAATTTTTTTTATTTTAATTCTATGAATTCATAGAATTAAAATAAAAAAAAAATTGATTGAATTTCATCAAGCGGTTTTCGAGATATCCTCAAAGTTGCATCAAAGATTCAAAACGTATATCAAATTGAAGCTGCGCCAAATTTTTAAAAACTTTGATCAAAGATATCTCGAGAACAACCTAATGAAATTCGATGGAAATTTTTATTTTAATTCTATGAATTCATAGAATAAAAATAAAAAAAAATTCATCGAACTTCATCGAGTGGTTCTCGAGATATCTTTGATCAAAGTTGACCAAAATTCAAAACGTCTATCAAACTGAAGTTGCGCCAAATTTTTTTAAAAATTTTGATCGAAGATATCTCAAGAACAACCTAATGAAATTCGATGAAAAATTTTTTATTTTAATTCTATGAATTCATAGAATAAAAATAAAAAAATTTCATCGAATTTAGTCAAGTGGTTCTCGAGATATCTTTGATCAAAATTGACCAAGATCCAAAACGTCTATTAAATTGAAGTTGCGCCAAATTTTTTTAAAAACTTTGATCAAAGATATCTCAAGAACCACCTAATGAAATTCGATGAATTTTTTTTTTATTTTAATTCTATTATTCATAGAATAAAAATAAAAAAAAATTTATCGAATTTCATCGAGTAATTCCCGAGATATCTTTGATCAAAGTTGACTAAGATTCAAAACGTCTATCAAATTGAAGTTGTACCAAATTTTTTAAAAATTTTGATCGAAGATATCTCAAGCACCACCTAATTAAATTTGATGTTATTTTTTTATTTGAATTCTACGAATTCATAGAATTAAAATAAAAAAATATCATCAAATTTCATTAGGTGGTTCTCGAGATATCTTTGATCAAAGTTTTTAAAAATTTAGCGCAGTTTCAGTTTGATATAACGTTTTGAATATTGGTGCAACTTTGATTGAAGATATCTCAAGAACCACTTGATGAAATTCGGTCAATTTTTTTATTTTATTTTAATTCTACAAGTTCATAGAATTAAAATAAAAAAAAATTTATCAATTAGAAAATTTGGATATATGCAATGTTGCAGTAAATGATAAACAATTATTGCGAAGTTGATTATTGGTCTAATTTATGCATGTGATCGATTTGTTTATTGTTCGTTGATTGTCATGACATGTAGACAATCAAAACTCGCTCCGCTTTAACCGACCCCCATATCTGGCAACATTTCATTGGTTAGATAATAATTATTTCAACAGTATTAGCATTAACGCAAAGGCTTTATCTTTTTTTATCTTTTTTAGCACATGGAGGTTAGAAATTTCTTCTTTATACTCCTTTCCTACTTTGTACTTTTACTGCCCCTTTGTTATTCTGCAAAACCCTCGTTAGACTCAAAAGTTGCCCTTCTTAACCAAGCTTCAAGTCAAAATTTGGGTGTAGTAGAACTTGATTCAAATTTATACGATGAATTCGTTGCTAAGCCTAGGAATTATTCTATGGCTATATTACTGACAGCCTTAGATCCACAAATTAATTGTATACCGTGCAAGTAAGTTATACGTTCTTTTTCATGACTTGAGAGAGTTTATTATGTATTCTACGAGAAATTCTTCTAAATAAATTGAACAATAGCGAAATAATTCTTTAATAATATAAACAGAGAGTTTGATCCTGAATTTCGATTAGTCGCAAGGAGCTGGTTAGAAGCCGGGAACGAACCTTCTCGCTTGTACTTTGGAGTTTTAGATTTTAAAAATGGTCGAGAAGTTTATGCCAAAGTAATTTATTTCACAATTTCTTGTATATATTACAATATAATTTTGTTTTTTTTAAAGATTGCTTAAAACTTACTATTGCATATTACAACTATTAGCTCGGTTTGAATAATGCTCCTACTTTGTTCTATTTTTCACCAACCACTGGTCCATATGCTAAAGATGTTTCTGAACCTTATAAATACGAATTTAATAGACAGTAAGTATTTTTTTGTGTTTATCTTAAAGTTATCAAATTTATCTTTTATAAATGGTTCTTCCTAGTGGTTTTTCTGCCGAACAATTCGCGTCCTATTTATCGGGTATTTTGGGCATTCAAGTCCCGGTCAAACGACCTCTGAATTACTTTGGTATATTTATTACAACAATCTTAATACTTGGGGCGATTGCTTCTTTAAAGCTAATGTATCCTATGATGGAAAGTGTCATACGAAGCAAGAATACCTGGGCTGCGATATCATTGGTAAGTGTCCACAATTTTTTACCAAAAGTGCGCAAAATAATATTTTTCGAGAATGTAAATCTTTAGGTTACACTCCTGTGAGAAGATAAAAGCTTCAAATTTTATTATATAGATATTCTTGTGAGAATATTGTTAATTATTCACAAATATGGTTACATATTCATTTTTTACAGGTTGTAATACTTATGATGATTTCTGGACATATGTGGAACCACATTCGTGGTCCTCCATACGTATATTATCATAATTCGCAAGTTAGTTATATCGCACATGGCTTTTCCAACCAATTTGGTATTGAAAGTCAGATTGTAGCTGTAGTGTGTATGTTATATTATTATTTTTATTTTTTATTTTTTGTTAGGGTGTTAATTGGAATAGCATGCTCTGGATTACTCCAGTTTAAATTCGAACGAGGTTATAGTGAAGTTTAAAATATATTAAGACAGTTTCTCCATCAGAGTGGTTTGGTTTATACTAATAAAACCAAACCAACCAAACCAAACCCATTAACAACCCTATTTTTGTAAAATAAGATAGAAAAAGGGCTTAGCTAACGATTTTTGTAAATTATTTAGACGGAGTTTGCTCTTTTTCAGTAATATCATTAATTCACTTAGTACCGAAGATTGAAGATAAGAACAAACAACGATTTGGAACATACGTAAGTACATCACATTTTTCGGCTTATCTCTTTCGAATAAATCTTATTTAATGTTCTATACATGTCCTTAATTTTTATAGCTCTGGATGGGAACCCTATTTACTACGTTTAGCCTTTTATTTGCTCTTTTTAGAATAAAAAATCCTGGATATCCATTTAAATTGTTTATTTAATGATTAAAATTGGCACATAAAAGAAAAAAAGAAAAATTCTATTAGACACCTACCAATTTTACAAGAAGTAGTCATCCTAATCTTCCTCTCATTGAACAATACTTGGTTTGCAATTGTTATATTATACTTTGATGGTATTAGAAATTTATTATTGATTGAAACGTTTACATCATAATGTCACTAATGTTCGCGATGTTACTCATATAATCATTTTTTTGCAATACTAATCTCCTCGTTGGTGGCGAATGTTGTCTTAGTTTTATACCAGCTTCTTTAAGAATTTGATAGGTCAAATCATCCATACCATATGTTCTTGAAAATTTGTGCATAAACAATTATACGTGAATTTGATCAGTAATTAAAAATTATACGAACGTTACAAAATCAATATTTTATAGTATTCACTCTTACTTGTTATAGACAACTTCAGTGACTCCTGATTGAATTAATTTTACCGAGCACCCTTAAATATTCAATTATAAGATCAAATCCATGATAGCAGGAAAAAACAGCTCAATTAAATAAAGATCGATGAAACATATTTACATACTAAGACATGGACACCTATAAAAAAAAAAAAAAAAAAAAAAAAAAAAACTATTATTAACTTTGTACTTCAAAGGTACAAAGCTCAAATTCAAGTAAATTTTCGTGCTTTTACTTTGATCATCAGCATATCAATATATATACTCACGTGTTACAATAAAGAATGCTACCTTGTCCAACTCTTTCCCTCCCAGCTTCTAATAACGCATTCTCTTCTGCGTGTAGGCATAAACAAGTATCCAATTCTTTTCCACATGGGACTGCGTCATTGCAACGTTCGCAACCGCCTTGATTACAATTCTTTAAGCCTCTTGCCGTACCATTATATCCAGTCGCGATTACTCTAAAGTCTTTAACTAATATACAACCAACCCTACGTTTCATACAATTGGATCTTAATGCTGCCAGATCTGATAAGTGCATGAAATATGTGTCCCACGAAGGTCGCAATCTCTCGGTATTGGTGATATTAAGACTGTGGAGATGCGCATAGAGTAATTGTAATGATAAAAAAGAATTCACGATCGTGAGATCGGCCATAGTCATTAGGTTATAAATTGATGAGGTTGAAAAGTCATCCGAATTTAGTGTATGATCTTGATCATTTTGTACAAATTCATTGGTTGGTGCAACTATTTTAAATAATCTTTTATCATTCTCGGTTATAAATCCTTCTAAAGTTGGTGGCTGATGACCTAAATCTTGGCAGCTTTTGCGTTAAACTTTATCAATAATTGGCATTTGAAATAGTTCATATCATTTTCAAATTAATTCTTACCGAACCAGGCACCTCTGGTATCGGATTGTCAACGGGCCGTCCACGGCCAATAATAAGAAAAAAGGGCGTTTTCTATTAAGAAACATCGTTTAGATCGATAATATTTTCTTACTGTAAAAGGATTACGTACGAAAATTACCTATACATTTCTAATACATATAAAGTATCAATATTGCACGTTACAAAATTATCTATCCAATTCTTTGTGACATACTCTAGAAGATCGTCTGGCGTTTCAAAATGTAGCGCGTCGAGTCGATAGCTGTCATTATCTCGAAGAGTTAAAGGAGTAAAACCGTGCACAGAAACAAGCCATTCAGCAATAGTATGTTTTCCAGAACAAAAGGAACCTGTTATTCCAATAAACATAACCAATCTTATTTCTGAAAAAAAATACAAATATTTATTTCTCGAAACTGTTTTAAAACTATTAATCGTGTCAAGATTTGCGCGTACAAACTTTACCGATACCCGGAAATTTCCATAAATAACTGATAAGTCGATCTTGTCAAGATTAGTGCTTGTAGTCGATCCTTATTTATCGACTTGACTAAGTCGATATTTTTAGCCGGCTAAATCAAAGTCGATTAATATTTTTTACCTTCGGCATCACTCTTAGTACTATGTACTAAGAGTTGTAATGCATCGAATCTGATTGGTTACTTTAATATAATCGGCTAGCTGCTAGTAGAGTTTGGAACCGGTTTTATTTTTCATATGTTAAAACCGGGTTTAATCGGTTTTAACATATGAAAAATAAAACC